TTGTATACTTACACATCTTGGGGCGAAGGTGCGCAGCGTACCAAAACCAGGTCACTAGGACCTTTATTTGACCTTTACCTTGACCTTGATCATATTTCCCTTCCGCTCTATAACTCGGGCCCCTAATGGAGCTAGCGCTACCAAACTTGGTATACTTACACATCTTGGGGAGAAGGTGCGCAGCGTACCAAAACCAGGTCACTATGACCTTTATTTGACCTTTACCTTGACCTTGATCATATTTCCCTTCCACTCTATAACTCAGCCCTTAATTGACCTAGCGCGAGCCAACTTTGTATACTTACACATCTTGGGGAGAAGGTGTGTCGCGGACCAAAACCCCTAAGGCAACCAATTTTAACATACTTGCACATGTGTAACAAACCTTTGTCTTTGTGACTTATTTAACTTTGCCTACCTTCTCCGTCCTTACAGAGATATTTCATTCATACTAGATCATGGGGGATACATATGTAGTTGGTGACAACTGCCCTTTCTAGTTAATTACTATTGTGGGTATAGTATATATTTATATATGCATTTGTGTATATTTTTGTATTGCTATTCTGTGTGTTTGTGTGACATTATTAAAAAAACACCAAATCCATGCAAATATTGATCAGCTCTGACGATATTTGTATATTTATATCTATTACATACATCCATAAAAAGATACGCCTAAACATCACACATCCATGATCGTCGATAGTTCTAAAGGTAACGAAATTACGCGTGTCCTTTGAATCAGGGTAATTGTGCAGATATTTTTCTTTGAAAGCAAAATTACACAGAGGCTGACACACTGCCCGACAACAACATCGTCCGTATAGGCCTAATGCTGTGGAATAATGTACGTAGCTTACTGCCGCCAATCGATGAAAGGCGAATGCAGTCTATCCATATAAAAAATCTGCCTGCGTCGCATCTGCACCTGCATGCATGTAACTGTAGCGCTAACTGTTCAGGTTGATATCACCTACTTCTCAGCAGAGGGTGAAGGGCTCCACAAGGAGAACTAACAAGTAAGCAACGTGTTGAGCGCCTAGACTTGCGCATGTCATTGCACTCTGACGTCACCCGCTGCGTCCACCGTGACGGTTCTACTGAACACTGAGAGCAATGCAATCAGCAGCAGATCTTGACAGGCTTTTACAGTGTGGCAACATACACTTATAGACGTTATTACGAATTTTCTGGAAAATATCGATGTAAAAGTCGATAGTGTCGTGCGTAGCGGTCAGTAAAACAGCCTGTACTAATTATCACATGGTTGTAAATGATTGTTATTATAACATTACTATAATATTATTATAATTAATATATATATATACATATATTAATATGATGACAAATTATATATAATAATTTGTATAATAAACATAATTAATATCATATTAATGTAATATATATTAATATAATAATAATATGGAATTATATCTAATTATAGACCCATTGGTTCAGGTAGGCCTAACGGTGTCACGTCACTACGCCGCGCGCGTGATTTTTTTTCCTAGGTCAATCAAGAACATAGGGCTCTATAGTGAGCGCTGCCATTGGTTGATACAAATCACGTGCCTCAAACTCTTGTTTTATGGTGCATTCACTGCATTGTGACCCTAACCCTAACCCTAACCGTTACCCAAACCCTATTTTAAAAAATATATAAAAAATATAATTTTTAATTGTTGTAAAAATTAATTGTTGTTATTAAAATGTTGTAAATAAATCATGTAACTATTTGCGTTAATTGGAAAAAAATGTTTAAACGGATAAAGATAGAAAAATACAGAAAACAGGAAAATAATTAGAAAAGGATGGGATTCGATCCACCGAGCTTTCAGCCTTGAATTGCGTGCGGTACTCGATAGGCTATTGA